GTGTGTGGAAGGATTTGGGCAGGTTCCCAGGGCAGTTGACACCCCCATTACCTGGGACGTTACACCTGAACAGGTATTCAATCCTGACAAACTGACACGTCCCCTGATGGAAGGGTGCCTTGCCTATCCCAATGAAAGCCAGCAGCTTCTCACCCTGTACTGGGGCCTGACCTGTGCCTATTGAGCCACAGTTCAGTACTCTCAGAGGACTGTAGTGGAGACAGGGACCCAAACTGCATTGGAGGACACTATGGCTGAGATAGGGACTCAAACCACAACTACAGTAATTGTTCTAGTAGTGAAAAGGGAAAAAACAGATACGGCAAGCTACAGGTTGATATCATGGATTAGTAAGGGAGGAAGGGGAGGAAGAAGAAGGAGGAAGAAGAAGGGGGGAAGGAAGAGGAGGAGGAAAAGCAGGAGGGGAGGGGCAGATAAAAAAGCTGGTCCTTTAACAAAGAAATTGAAAAGAGTGACACAAATCAAACAGGAAACTGAAGTTACCTGGTCCCTGACCTCATCAGAACTTTGAGACTTGGGGAAAGATTACATCTGCCAGCCAGGTGAGCGGATTCCTGACTGGGTGCTTTGATGCTGGGATAATGGGTCTGATAGTCAGTAATTGGAAGAACATGAAGCCCAACAGCTGGGATCCCTTGCTAGAGGTTGGGGAACTGAAAGAGGAATTAGAAAAGAAGGAGCAATTTGCAGTCTCTGGAGATGGCTCCTCTCAAGCGTGAGGGCAAGATATCCATTTAAGGAAGATCTTATGAACTCCCCGGGAAAGTGGACCACTGCAGACAAAGGTATCCAGTACTTGAGAGAATTAGCAGTGCTGGAAATCATTTATAGTAATCTAAGAAATTATAACATCCCTAAAGATCCAGAGGATGTCCCTTGCACAATGGCCACGTGGAGGAAGGTGGTTCAAAGCACCCCTGCATCGTATTGCAACAGCCTGGTAACAATATATTACCCACAAATGGATACACCAGTTCTAGAGGTGACATCCTCCTGGCTCCACACCGTAGAAGAAACTCTGGGTACTTCCACATCCCCATGGGCCAGCACCTCAGCTGTCAGGGACAGCCCGAGATCAGTCCTCTTCTGCTCCAGGCAGAGGGAAAGGAAGCCCCAAGCACAGGTCACGTGGAGAACTCTGGTTCTTTCTGCGTGACCAGGGGGAAGACATGAGGAAGTGGGATGGTGAACCCACCTTTAAGATGGAAGTCCATGCACTTGAACTGAGAGGGAAGAGAGCTGTTAAGAAGGGGTCACCCAAGAAGCATGTCCATGTAGTTGCCAGAGAGACACATAAAAGCAATCAGCAATCTCCCAGGCAAAGAAGGATTGAAATCACCTCCTTTGACCCTAGCGAGAGGACTTTTGGTCTGGCATTGCAAAGGTCAGATAGTGAATACTCTGACCAGGAACAGGAATAAAGGGTCCCTGCCTTCGACCAGGAGGAGGAAAGGAATGACCAGGTTTACTGGACTGTGTGGATCACAGTCTGGCACATCAGATCCACAGAGGTATAGAGCTTTAGTAGATACTGGTGCACAGTGCACACTGATGCCTTCAAGGCACAGGAGTGCAGAACCCATATGGATCTCTGGAGTGACAGGGGAATGCCAGGAGTTGTCTGTATTAGAGGCTGAAATGAGTTTAAAAGGAGACAGGTGGGAAAAGCACTCCATTGTGACTGGCCCAGAGGCCACTTGTATCCTTGGCATCAACTACCTCAGGAGGGGGTACTTCAAGGATCCAAAGGGGTATCTGTAACACACAGATAATATAGAAATGCCAAAAATAATGTTTTGCCATTGTTTCTGCCTGTCAAAACTTCCTACCAAAAATTCTCTGTCAACCTTTTGCCAGAAGTTCTCACCAGAGCTTCCTGCTGGAGTTTTCCTGCCAAAAGACTCTGCCATTGTTTATGGTTATCAAATCTCTTTGAAAATCTGAATAGGGCTATGTGCCAAGAAACCACATACAACCTCCTTTGAACACTATAAAAATTGAGGAAAAATTTTGGAAAATCAGGGAGAGGAAAGGGAGAGAGAACTGGTTGCCACATGAGTGAGTTATACCTTATCCTTCTAGCCTTACCATATTTCTTAGGGTCAAAAGGTGCGGCTGAACCAGGACCCTGCACGGCATGGGACACGGCTCAATGTGAGCGGCAAACCCACACATTCTGGCTGCATTCCAGAGAACTAAAGCTGTTAGACCCCCCCCACAGCTAAAGAGATAATATTGAAAAGCAACAGAGGCAGAGAAAAAAAAAGACAGAAATTGCTTCTCCCACACACACACACTAGCTTGGTGGAAAGGTAGTTTTGGTGGTATCTTTGCTTCTAGAAATAATCCTAGCTTTTTCCAACCTTTTCTTATTTTTTCCTCTTTCTCTTTGCATCTCTTATCAATTAATAAAGTCGCTTTTTGTTATCAACAGATAACTTGTGTGAGTTTTAATTTTGCTCAGGGGAATATTCAAATCTGAAGATCTTTCTGCAACATTTAAGCAGACTGTAACAGTATCAGTAGGAGCCCCTGGTGGTCTAGTGGTAAGGGCGCGGCGCTGTCACCACCGAGACCTGGGTTCGATTCCCGGTCAGGGCCACTCCCGGGCAGATGGAGCTCATTAGCCCTTAAAAAGGCAACCCATCTACGTCCTAAGGACCTCGCTGCCACCGTCCAAGCTCGCTTGGTCCCGGCAGATGAACCTTAGGATTAAAGGGTGGGCTCAGTTCTGCGCACACTGTGTCTCACCTAAAAAATCCAATGCGCAGGCTGGAAGGTGTAAAGACCTTCCCCGGATCTTCGCTCGCGAAGACTGGCCATTATTAACAGTATCAGTGGGTTTTTGGTATACCTTCTGTGAATACAGAGAAGATCAAAGTTATCTACCCTACCTGTCCTCTCAGAAGATCCCTTCATCGTGGGATTGCTGCAAGTTGAAGACCAACAATGCACCAAGGGCAATACTGTAATAACAGAGACTCCGTAATTCCCATCCATAAGCCAATTGGTTGACTGGAGAGCCAAGGAGTGATCAGCAGGACCCGCTCACCCTTTAACAGCCCTGTATGGCCAGTGCAGAAGTCTAATGGGGAGTGGAGGCTGACAGTGGACTATCGTAGCCTGAATGAAGTCACGTCAGCTCTCAGTGCTGCTGTGCCAGACATGTTGGAACTTCAATATGAGCTTGAGTCAAAAGCAGCCAAGTGGTGCCATAATTGACATCACTAATGCATTTTTCTTAATGCTTCTGGCAACAGACTGCAGACCACAGTTTGCCTTCACTTGGAGGGGTGTCCATTATACCTGGAAGCACAGCCCGACCATCTGCCATGGACTGATCCATACTGCACTGGAACAGGGTGAAGCTCCAGAAAACCTGCAATATATTGATGATATCATTGTGTATGGTAAGACAGCAGAAGTTTTTGAGAAAGGGAGGAAAATAATCCAAATTCTTGAAAGCCAGTTTTACAATAAAAGAAAGTAAGGTAAAGGGACCTGCATGGGAGATCCAGTTCTTGGGAATAAAATGGCAGGATGGATGCTATCATGTGCCCATTGATGTGGTGAACAAAATTGCAACTATGGCCCCATAGGCTAACAAGAAGGAAACACAAGCTTTCCTAGGCCTTGTGGGATTCTGGAGGATGCACATTCCAGGTTTTAGTCAGCTTGTGAACCCCCTCTATCGAGTGACCCAGAAGAAGAACCATTGTGAGTGGGGCCTTGAGCAACAACAGGCCTTTGAGCAGATCAAACAGGAAATAGCTCGTGCAGTAGCTCTGGGGCCTGTTTGGACAGGACCAACCGTGCAAACTATCCTCTACACTGCAACTGGGGAGCATGGTCTTACCTGGAGCCTCTGGCAAAGAACATCAGGAGAAAGCCAAAGTCGACAGTTAGGGTTTTGGAGCTGGGATTACTGAGGATCAGAAGCCCACTACACTCCAGCTGAAAAGGAGATATTAGCAGTCTATGAGAGGGTTCAAGTTTCCTCAGAAGTCCTTGGGACAGAAGCATGTTTCTTCTTGGGACTGCATTTGCCTGTGTTGCACTGGATGTTCAAAGGAAACATCCCCTCAACACATCAGGCAACCAGTGCTACATGGACTAAGTGGGTAGCTGTTGTTGTTTGCGAGGACAACCAAAATAATAAAACTGGGCACTAGATGATGATGGCCTAAATTCAGCTTTTATTCTTCATCCAGAATATTACATCTTGTCTTCACACAGCTGCACTCACACTCTCCTAGGAGAATCTTACATACTAACACTATTCTTAGCTCTGTTATCTATAATTTACCACTAGCCTTCACATATGATTGGATGCTCACCTCTTATTTACATTCTTTTCCATGGTGCTAGGCACCACGGCCTTGCTGCATCCTCCGACAGGTAGCTTTGATTACACAATGGGCCCGAATGGGAAAACTCAATTGCCCAGAAATCCTGGAAGAGATTATGGACTGGCCAGAAGGCAGAGATTTTGGAGCATTGCCAGAGAAGGTGACTTGTGCCCAAGAAGCACCACCATATAATGAGTTACCAGAAAATGAAAAAGACTGTGCTCTATTTACTGATGGATCCTGTTGTGTGGTGAGAAACCATTGGAGGTGGAAAGCTGCTGTCTGGAGTCCCACACAACGAGTCGTTGAGGCTGCTGAAGAAGAGGGTGAGTCAAGCCAATTTGCAGAAGTGAAAGCCATCCAACTGGCCCTAAAGATTGCTGAAGGCGAAAAGTGGACTATACTATATTTCTATACTGACTCCTGGATGGTGACTAAAGCCCTATGGGGGTGGCTATAGCAATGGAAGGAGGCCAATTGGCAACACAGGGGTAAACCCATCTGGGCTGCTGCATTGTGGCAGGACATCACTGCATGGGTAGAAAACATGACTCTGAAGGTGTGTCATGTAGATGCTCACATGGTCAAAAGTCACACCACTGAAGAACATCAGAACAATGAGCAGGTGGATAAGGCTGACAAGACTGGAATAGCTCAGGTGGACTTAGACTGGGGGCAGAAGGGTAAGCTATTTATAGCCCGATGGGCCCATAAAACATCAGGATATCTACGAAAAGATAGGACATACAGATGGGTTTGTGATCAAGGAGTGGAACTGACCATGGAGGCCATCACACAGGTTATTCACGAATGTGAAACGTGTGGCAATCAAGCAGGGCCATGTGAGTAAAATCTCCCTGGAATAGAGGGCAGTGGTTGGGTTTCCAATATGGTGAGGCCTTCAAGTTGACTACATTGGACCACTGCCACGAACACCAAGGCAAGAGCTACATTCTCACCGTGGTGGAGGCAACAACTGGCTGGCTGGAAACATATCCTGTAAACCAGGACACTGCTTGAAACACCATCTTAGGCCTTGAGAGGCACGTTCTGCAGTGATATTGCACCCCAGAGAGAATTGAATCAGACAATGGGGCTCACTTTCGAAATAACCTCATCAACTCTTGGGCAAAGAAACATGGCACTGAGTGGATATATCACATCCCCTATCACCCACAAGCCTCTGGAAAATTTGAGAGGTGTAATGGACTGCTGAAGACTATGTTAACAGCCTTAGGCAATTGGGCATGGAAGCACTGGGAGGCAAATTTAACTGAAGCCACTTGGCTAGTCAACACTAGGGGAACTGGCAACCACCCTAGTCATGCCCAAAGAAAACCCCTATATACTGCGGGAGGAGATACGTCTTCGTACTATACATGGGGAAGTGGCTGGGGAAGTCGGTATCGGTTTCTCCTCCCATGGGGAAAGGCAAACCCATCCATGGGATTGTCTTTGCTCGGGGACCAGGGTGTACCTTGTGGGTAAGGCAGAAGGATGGGGAGACCCAGTGTGTGCCTCAAGGAGATTAAACCTTGGGGGAAAATAATCTGTGGTGTAAGTTGTATGTTGCAGGAAGTAAAGTAGCACGACAATGAAGAACAATTTTTGTGAGGAGCAAGGAGAGTGCAACAATGATCCAAGCCAGGCTGGTGTCGGTGCCCAATGATCAATTCTGTTGCTTCTACTGTCCTGAGTACCCATCCTGATGGAATGGAGCCCAAGATCTGGAGAGGTAGAAGAAGCCCATGAAAATGGGAAAATAATATCTACCTGTGAAAGGATGGGGGATAGTCAGAAGATATATAAATTATGTGGGATCTGAGTATGATGCAAATGTTATGGAATAAGGGGTAGAGATTGTATTGAGTCTGGCTGAGCTGGAGTTCATTTCCCCATAGTAGCCCTCACAGTGCTGTGCTTTGCATTGGTAGCTAGAAGGGTGTTGATAACACACCAGTGTTTTGGCTGCTGCTGAGCACAGCATCAGCATTGTAACATTCCTTCCTCAATTGAGGGCAAGGTCCTGGGAGGGGGACCCAAGTAGGCCAGCTGACCCAAACTAACCAAAGGGATATTTCACATCATATGACATCGGCTCAGATATAAAAGCTAAGGCAAGGAGCAGGAAGGCAGGCATTCATTATCTCCAATGGCTGCCTTCTGAGGAACCGTTACACGTGCTGAAGCCCTACTTCTCGGAGGTGGCTGGCCATCACTGCTCATGGGAAGTAGAGAATAAACTGTGTTATCTTTTGCTTTGCTTTTGTGCATGCAAGCTTTTGTTTTGCTTCTGCTTTAATAAACTGCCTTATCCCAACCCACAAGTTGTTTTCCATCTTACTCTCTCCACTGTCTGGCTGGGAAGGGGAGTGATAGAGCAGCTGGGTGGGCACCTGGCATCCAGCCAAGGTCAACCCACCCCAGTGTTTTGAAAACCCTGCTTCCTGGGAAGTAGTCAAACATCACTCGCTAATGGGAAGTAGAGAATAAACCTTAGTTTCTTCTTCACTTGTGCAGGTGCAAACTTTCACTTTTGCTTCAGTAAACTGCCTTATCTCAGTCTACGAGTTGTTTTCCATCTTATTCTCTCTCCCCTGTCCTGCTGGGAAGGGGAGTGATAGAACAACTTGGTGGGCACCTGGCATCCAGACAAGGTCAACTCATTACAACACGGTATTACATTAGCATGATTAAAAAATCCTCTGGAACCTGCTACTAGAAACTACTAGTCTATTTCGTACTGAGTAGTTGTAGGATTAAGTCTGACCTCTGCTACACCAGCATATCTTGATCCTAAAGGAGGCAATGAGTGACAGTCAAAAGTAATTACTTAGTACATTGCTGACTAGTTGTTCTCAAGAAATCAACAAGGCTCAGTGTCGGGTCCTGCACTTGGGCCACAACAACCCCATGATTCTAGAGGACCAGCTGAGATAACTGGGGCTGTTTATTCTGGAGAAATAGATATTAGGATAAATATCTTCATGGAAACTTGTAAAACATTAGATCAGAATGCCCAGATAAAGTAATGGACCACTCATAAATTTCATCCCTCCAAAGGATACTGACGCTTTTTGATAAATCATAAGTGTAGGTCAGTGCCCCTTATAATGTTTCCATTACTGCTTGAGCAATGTCCAATGCAGGCAACATCTGCAATTTGCAATACCTCTTATCACTAGATTGGGATTAGAGAGGAATAAAATAATGCCCACCATCACCTTCATGACTTGGTAACCGTACAAAAGCAAAGACTGAGAAATATATCCCAATGAGGAGCCCCTGGTGGTCTAGTGGTAAAGGCGCGGCGCTATCACCGCGGAGACCCGCGCAGGCTGGAAGGTGTAAAGACCTTCCCCGGATCTTCGCTTGCAAAGACTGGCCATTAAAATATCCCAATGCAGTCAATTGAGACTTAACCTTTACTATTGTATTGGGTTTGCGGGGGGGCTACAGGGGTGGCTTCTGTGAGAAGCTGCCAGAAGCTTCTCCCATGTCTGACAGAGCCAATACCATCTGGCTCCAGGATGGACCTGCTGCTGGCCAAGGCTGAGCCAATCAGGAATGGTAGTAACGCCTCTGTGATAACATATTTAAGAAGGGAAAAAAAAAAGTTACTGTGCAGATGTAATTGTGCTCAGAGGAATGAGAATATGTGATAGGAACAACTCTGCAGAAACCAAGATCAATGGAGAAAGAGGGGGAGGAGGTGCTCCAGATGCCAGAGCTGAGGTTCCCCTGTAGCCTGTGGTGCAGCCCATGGTGAAGCAGCTGTGCCCCTGCACATGACCATTTGTCATGGTTTAGAAATGGTACTCCCCAATTTAGTGCTCCCACTGAGACTATCCATACCATGCTGCCACTCGATTGCTCCCCCCTCCCCTGTAGGTGGCTGGAGAGGAGAATTGGAGGCACAAAAGGCAAAGATCACAGGTTGAGATAAGAACAATTTACTAGAAACAGCAATGAGATAAGAAAATGAACAGTAAAAGTAACAATGTTAATAAAAAAAGTGTACAAGGGAGAGACAAGTGATTCACATGCAAAATGCTCAGAACCAGGTTACCCTACCACTCCTTCTGCCACACTTACTCGACCAGAAGGAACCCCTTCTCCTTGGAAGAGACTCCCTTCCCCCCACCCCCAGCAATGATGTGAGGGGGTATAGAATAACCTCCAGGTCCTAGACAAGCCCTCTCCTGGCTACTGCAAAAATTAACTCTGTCCTGGATGAAACCAGGACACCATTTACAAAGAGACTGAGAAATGAATGGATATGGAGAGTGAAGTATCCTGTCTTTCAAAAACATGGTCCATTCAGGTCAGAGGTGAGCTGGTTTTGGTGGAGAAGTCTAACTATGGATTTTTCTGGGTGAAGCAGCAAAGAAATAAAGTACTCCAGACCCTGATATTCCCTGGAAATCAGAGAAAGTCTACAGCTACTATAGACTTCTAACTCTCTAATAGTTCATGGTCCTACGACAACTTACACACACCAGCTGAGGAGCAAAGACCAATTTTTTACTTTTCTGTAATTTAAGAAAATATTTGTGCATTCTTAAGTGCAGGTCAAAATCCCCAATAATACTGAAAGTGATTGAATCATAGAATCATCTAGATTGGAAAAGACCATCAAGCCCAACCGTTAACCTAACACTATCACCACAAAACCATGTCCCTAAGCGCCACATCTACACATCTATTAAATACCTCCAGGGATGGTGACTCAATCACTTCCCTGGGCAGCCTGTTCCAATGCTTAACAATTCTTTCATTAAAGAAATTTTTCCTAATACTCAGTCTAAACCTCCTCTGGTGCAACTTGAGGCAGTTTCCTTTCATTCTACAACTTGTTATTTGTGAAAAGAGACTGACATCCACGTTGTTACAACCTCCTTTTAGGTAATTGTAGAGAATTATAAGGTCTCCCGAGTCTCCTTTTCTCCAGAATAAACAACCCCAGTTCCCTCAGCTGGTCCTCGTAAGACTTGTTCTCTAGACCAGTTTCCAGGAATTCTGTAATGGCCTTCAAGGTCTAAACAAGGTCTAAACCTAATGATTTTAAAACATCTGAATATCATAAAATCATAGAATTGTTAAGGATGGAAAAGGCCTCTAAGATCAAGTCCAACTGTCAAACTAGGACCTCCACCATGTTCACCACTAAACTATGTCCTCAAGTGCCATATCCACACATTTTTTGAACACTTCCAGGGATGGTGACTCTACCACTTTCCTGGGCAGTCTGTTCCAATGCTTTACAACCCTTTCCATGAATTTTTTTTCCTAATATATAAACCTCCCATGATGCAACTTGAAGCCATCTCCTCTTGTCCTGAATTATTTTAACTTATTTTTCATTTACTTTACATATATTTTTTAACTTACTTTAACTTGACTAAGAGCTTCTGCTACATAATAAATTAAAAAGAGTATGTTGTGTTATTCCATAGATATCAGTTTTCCTTGAGATCCAACTTTTCATTTAACTTCTCAATGCTCTTTCCTCAAATATGTAATTGTTTTCCTGTGTGGTTAAAAGCAGCATTTTTTGGTCTTTTCATCTGTACTCTTGGGATAGCACAAATTTCATCTGTAGATGGAGTAGCACAAAATTTGAATGCAATTTTTTTTTAAAGGAGCGGCAAACAGCAATGAAAAATCTCTTCATCTAGAACCTTTTTGGGGATACCATTTCCTAAACAGCACTTTCAGGAGACAGCAAAACTAACATATAGAAAAATTAAAGGAATGAACATGTTATGAAACGAGGTGCAGCTCCTTTCAAGTATTCCCTACCAGCTGCTTGCTGTACCATCTGTTGTTGCCTAAGCAGCTTCCTTCTGAATGGCTTTGCACTGAAGCAGAACTGCTCTCACTGTCGGACACAAATCAGGTCAGGTCACCACTCCCCCCAGCACTGAACCTGCTGCCTGTCATGGCTTCCATCGTCTCAATATTTCTTACTGACCACCAGTTCCCAAGATAGTGTTGCATCTGTCAAGAGGTCCATTTCTCTTGACCTTTTGTAAGAATGTAATCAGAGATGCATCAGATGCAGTGTGCCTGTATGTTTAAGTTTATTCTAAAACACAAAGAACTGGGAAAAAAGTTAAACAAACAAATAAAAAAACAACCCCCACAAAACAATCTTTACTTTCTACTTTTGGTTAGCCTAATCATTCAGATAATTTTACTACCAATCCTACCACATTGCAAAACTTGTCTATTCTCCTTTTAAACCCAAAATTATTAGAATCTCTAGAAATAGAAGCAAAAATACCCCTGCTGTAGCAAGTATACACAAAATACAAGAGATTTTTATTAAACTAATTTCTGTAAATTAGTTAAGATCTAAAATCCACATAAAGACAGTACCAGTACTTGCAATGTATGCTCTCTAACAGTGCATTCAGCTTTTTGCATGACATTAAACCCAACTCCCTTCTCTCAGTTTCTGTGGAGCTGACCACCTCTCAGCACTGAGCACTACTTTCACCATTATACAGCGAGCCCTCCTTTCATTGTCTTTCCACTTGAGGTCAAATGGGGCAGAACACAATGGAAGCCCTCAGTTTCACACATAGACTCCCCCAGCCTGTGAAGAACATCACTCTGGACTGATTTATTTTTAACACTTTCTTCTCTCCACATCTTTGCAGGGAAACACACACAGAGCCTGGCAGTGGTATGAGAAGGCATCAGAGACAATACCTGTGTGAGG